TTAGTTTATTCATTTAATTTAATTTAATTTAATTATATTTAATTCATTTTATTTATTTAATTTCACTTTTTTTCAAAAACAAAACAATTATCTCAGCAAATAAAGAATTTTTCTGTCTGTCTGTGTGCTAAAGAATCTTAAGATAAAAACATTGTAAAATTATGAACAAAGAACACATTTGCTGTTGTTGATATTTTCTTTGTTTATCAGACAACTTTGACATCATTTTATATTTTATTAAAATGAAATTGGTCTAGTCTAAAAAAAAGGAGAATACGTATGTATGTGTGCATATTTAAAGTAATCAACGCTAAATAAAACAATTAATTACATTTAAGTATAAGTATTTATATATGTATATACATTTTATGCGCATGCACGGCTGGATAATTGCCAGTCACTCAGGTTAAACTCTACACAAACAAAGTAATAAGGATTGGACTTTTATATTTATGTTATCACATATTCGTACATACATATGTATGTACACATGCACATATGATGAACCCATTAACAATTACTAGTACATAAATACGTATATATTTATATATATAACTGATGCACGCATCGCCAATGTAGGCTGTCTTAATTGTTTTATTGCCCACACAAATTTTAGTTATGCGCTTACGGCACTGTTTCCTGACAGCATTCCAGCTTGCACAACTGGTTTGTAATGCAGAGATCAGGATTAATTTAATAAGTGTGCGTTTTTATTTTGTTAATCTAAAAAAATAACTTATAAATAACCTTGAAATCTTTTTAAAATAAATTGTTTTTAATTAATTTAATTATTTTTTGTTTAATTTAATTCAAATAAAATTTTTTTTTCGATTTTGTCTTTAGTTTAGTTTCAATTTATTTATTTTGCTGAGAGTTATTTATATTACTTTAGTTTTCTTTTTTAATTTAATTTAGTTTAATTTTATTTTAAATTTATATAGTTCAGTTTAATCTTTACATTTATGTTTTGTTATTTCTTTTGATTTTTTTATTCTTTTTTGATCTATTTTAATAAAAAATCAAATTAATTTATATATTTTAAATTATTTTATTTTATATTGTATTTAGTTTCACATTTATTTTTTGTTTATTTTAATTAATTTAATTTAAATAAAATTTTTATTTTGTTTTAATTTTATTTGATTTAATTTAAATTTCAAAATATTTAATTTAGTTTAAATATAACCAATTTATTTTGATTTAAAGTATTTAATTTTTTTTATTTCAATATTTAATATTAGTTTTGATTTTTGTAGTTTAATTTGCTGTCGTTTGTGTTGTATTATCTTATACATACATTTTATTTTATTTTATAATATTTCGCTTAATTTTATTTGTACTTTTTTCTTTTATGATGCTTTGCTTTATTTCATCTTACCTTTCATTCTTTAAATGTTTTCTTTTATTTTAACTGGTTTAATTTAATATTTTTATTTTTTTTTTATTTTGAATTAAATTATTTAATTTTTAAAAAGAATTAAAATAAAATAAAGTGAAATAAATTATATAAATAAAACAAAACAAAATCAAATAAATGAATTAAATTATTTAATTTAATTTTTTTTAATCCTATTTTATTTCACTTCATTTGATTTATTTTATTGGATTTTAACTGGTTTTTTTTAATTTAATATTTTCATTTTGTTTTGTGTTATTTTTATTTAATTTTGTAGTACTTTGAATTAAATTATTTCATTTAATTTTCCTTAATTTTATTTTATTTCACTTTATTTGATTTTTTTTTAATTTTATTTTCATATATTATATTTCATTTGAATTTATTTTATATTGTTTAGTTATATTTGATTATATTTTATATATTATATTACCTCATCTTTATTTTATTTTAATTTATTTTTTAATTATTTTAATTCATTTCAGTTTTTCTTTATTTTCTTTTACGGTTTATTATTTTATTTTGTTTAATTTAATTTTATTATTTTTAATTTTTTTATTTTCATTTATATAATATTACTTTTTTAAGTATTATATTTTGTATATATTTTATTTTATTACATTTAATATGTGTTTTTCATTTTAGTGAATTTTAATCATTTATCTTGTTTTATTTTAGTTCGTTTAATTAAAAATATAATAGTTTAGTTTATTTTGATCTTATTTAGTTTATTTAGTTCTTATTTTATTTTATTTTGCTTAACTTTGTTTTAGATTTTTTTTAATTCAATTTTATTGTTTTAAAATTTTTATTTTTATTTATTTATGTATATGAAACATAATTATAAATAATTATATTACAAAAGTAGAGGCACTAGCAATTTTTATTTATTAACTTTTTTCTTTTATTTCATTTTGTTAAATTAAATTTTAGTTTCTTTATTTTACTTTAGTTATTTTTTATTTAAAAAAAGAAAGAAAATTTGTTTAAGTAAATCTCAACGATAGAGCTACCAGTTTTTAACCTGCCTACATAGATTAGATCAAATTCAATCGATTAGATTTGTATATTCCAGATATAATTGAATTATAATGATAATCTTAAAATCATGAAGTTATCGCCGACAGCCATGAAACGTGTTAGTCTGACAAGGCCGTTAGTTGCTAATTAAGAAGACTTCGGGCGTAAAGCAAAGAAGAGTAATAGGACAAAGAGTTTTCAAAGAAAAATTGGCTCAAGACTAGGCAAATTTCCGGTAGAAACTAGAGATGCGATTTGGAAAGAGACAATTAGATCTCAGACAAGATTCGGAATAACGCCCACTGAGAAGATATATCCTTTGGAACCATTTATAACCCAAGCCAGACCAAACATCTGACTAGGCATATTAAAAGCATAAAAATTAATTTATTATCAACACGAATTGCAAAATTGCTACTTGTTTATTTGCGCACGGGCATATCGCATGTGCTGAGTAATTTTAATAATAAACTTTTATTGTGATTACTTCAGCATTTTTTTTATCATAAGAGCTTTAAAAATTTTAATGTTCGTGATTTGTTTATTGCTGCATAATTTGGGAAGAGTTTTTTTTAAATATAATTGAAAGACGGTTTATATTAAAAAAATTAACTCAGCTCAGGCCTGATGTTGACGGTGCGAATCTCGTTGTAGGGAAATTTCTTTTTATTTTTACGAAGTAGACATTTAATATGCATAAACGAACTAGTATTTAACTAGTATGAAGGTGTTGAGATCGAATGAAAGTATGGCAAAATGATGGCCGATTAACTAGGGAATATGAAATCTGCAAACTAATCAATATTTAATATACAAGTATATATATAATGGGCGCTTTGTAACCGCTAAACTCCTGTACGAATTTGGGTTGTGCTTCTTAATGATTTTACAATAATTGGCGGAACCTATAGATTATTCTAAGGCGCTTCCTAACTGTCGATGGATTGATTTTTATGCGAAGCTTTTTTTATTTATCATATCAGAAGTACACACGGGCACGGGACCACATGTCAACGGTCGAGGGGCGACCGCAATCAGCAAAACTAATTTTTTTTACACTTTTGAATGCTGGTCGAGTCAAACCCTGGCTTGGTCTAATGGTAGTACGCACTGCTAATCATACGGCAATTGCGGTCGTTAGTATACTTTTTGTTAATATGAGACTTCAGTTCAGTTAAGTTGGACCTATAAGACCATTATGATGGTGCTGCTGGTTTCTATAATGCTCTGAAATTAGCAAACCATTTTGTTTGTCTTAAATTAGCTACCTTTGATTTGGTAGTTTGGTGGTAGCTGTCAGAGGTATCTACAATATTTGATTGATTGGCACCACAGATTTGAGCTTGGAGGATGCTGTATTGGTTTGCAACCCTTAGTTTCATATGAGAGCTGCGCGTAAAGCCAGAGCGTTTACATATATTTTCCCATTCATAACTGGCCGAAATTCTTAAGTAATAATCAGGGGTATTATACTGTTAGCAAAAAGTAAGGTGAATTCGTTTGCAGAATTAAAAATCTTAATTCTTCTGCATCGATTGCGTTGCCTTCAAAATAGTCCCCTGCCGATGCAATGACTTTCTGCCAAAGCTTTTTCCAATTATCGAAGCATGTCAAATACTCACTTTCTGGTATGATCTTCAGAGAGCGCGCCGATTCACGTTTAATCTCCTCAATTGCCTCAAAACGATGTCGTCAAAGTGGTCTCTTGAGTTTTTGGAAGAGCCAGAAGTCACATGGTACTAAGCCCGGCGGGATACGGTGGTTGTAGAACGATATTCTAGCGAAATGGTCAAGAGAAATTAGTGCTGTGTGCATTATCGTGAGTGATGCAAAATCTACGAAGCAACACGCAGAAATTTAATTAAATTGTTGTACTGGCTTTAACATATTTGTGGTTTTAATTAAAAAAGAAAAATGACTTCAGCAGTGATATCATTTTTAGTGACAAAGGAGAAACCAGCTGCCAGAGTCAAAACCTCTTAACCAGAATTTTGTCGGTTTTAATTCTGATTGTAACAAAAATCAGATTCTGTAACACCCCAGAATATTTTAGCATTCCATCTACTGCGGTTCCAACCAGGCTGTGTTGCGTTCAATCTATCTTCAAACGAGCTGGAAGCGAGTTACCAGTGCTTTTAAGAGAGTCGATAGGATAGCTCCCAATCGTTGCACGTTTTCCACTTTACTCTACATGTTTTTCTTTTCAAGTGCCGGGTACCTGACATCGTGAAAAATATGACAGTCTTTCATATACCCACTTTCAGATGAAACTCAAAGCTCTCAAAGCTATTTTGCTTAATTTGCCCGCCGTCACAATTAAAGCTTTTGAGGCCAAAGCTATAAATCCACCTCAAAGTTAAAGAAAAAGCTTTAAGGCAGCATCTTTGCTCATCCTGTGTTGGAAGTCTCATCACAGCTGATTGCATATTTATTTGTTTACCTCGATGCATCTTCCAAGGCAAAAATACTCCTGCGCTTCATCAGAAAATGTCCTTAAGGTTTATCAAAAAGGTTTTTTTTTTAAATTAATATTTTAAAATGAAAAAAAAAATGGCTTAATCGAAATATTTTCTCTCTCTTCCAGTAACATAAGCAACATGCTACTAGTGAAACACCATCACCGTGGAGTGTTTCGTGTATGACACCGGATGCAACTAAATAAATTTCTACTCACCCATGGAGCTCAAATCTTGACCACAAAACTGCCCCAAATAAAGTGTTTACTTTGAAAAAAAAAAAAAAAAAAAAAAAAAAAAATCACCGTAATTTCTCCTTATACATCAGAACACTTTACTATCCTTGCTCTCACCAAAACACATACCAACAATGGGAAACTACATCAATTCTTGTAATAAAACCAAACCGAAAATTCCCGATGAGCTCAATGACGGTCTCGAAACGCTGGACGAGTATCAGAGTCGTTGGCGTTCGGTGCGTGTAATCTACTTCACCATGTTCCTAATGTCGCTCGGCTTTAGTATTATACTCACCGGCATATGGCCGTACTTAAATAAGGTATGTCGGAAATAATTTTATTCAGCTAAAATCAAACTTCTCACTCTTTCACGCTTCCTCATAGCTAGATCCGTATGCCGGCAAAGAGTTTATGGGTCTCATTGTTGCCGCCAATCCCTTGGGTCAGATGATCTTCAGTCCGCTCTTCGGTTGGTGGAGCAATAAGATCGGTTCGATACGCTTGCCCTTATTGTGTTCTCTGGCGCTGTTCACCTTCGCCAGCGGTCTTTATTCTTCATTGGAAATGCGTCCCGACAATGTTAAGTACTGGATGTTGATCTCACGTTTTTTAATTGGCGTCAGTTCGGCAAATATTGCTGTTTGTCGTTCGTACTTATCGGCCGCAACGCGTTTGAGTGAGCGCACAAAAGCGGTCTCGATGGTTTCACTTGCACAGGTCCTGGGCTTTATTGTTGGTCCAGGCTTACAGACTGCTGTGACGCCATTGGGTAATGATGGCTACACTTTTTTGTGGCGTGGATTTGTTTTCAATATGTATACCGCATGCGGTTGGATAAATGTTCTAATGAGCATCGGGAATTTAATCATGTTTCTGCCGGGTCTATTTGAGGTATGTACAAGTATACTACGGTTTGATTGTATATTATGTAGTGTTTATCGAGCTTAATCTTTTCTTTCTACATTTTTAGGAGCACAAAATTGCGGCACGTGAAATTATGATTAAGCAGGGCAAGACCTCGGAACGTGAAACATGGAAAGCCATCAAACCGGACTATGTGTCGGCGTGGACGCTGATTATGGCATTTTTTGTGTTGGTCTTCAATTTTGTACTGCTTGAAACGTAAGTACGGTCGTCAGCGGTAAAAGTGCTGCTGTGGTGGAGTCGAGGCATCGGGAGAGAATTTATGAAGGTCTTAGCATACCGTCGGTGAATGACGTCTGAATGCTTCGTTCTTAGCTAATGCTCGAGAAATACGAGCAGAATTAGTATTGTACTCATTAAGAGCTGATTAGCCATAAAAATTTGGACAACCTCGTTAAGAATGGGTAAAAAATAGAGTTCCGTAGATTACCAGTGGACTTCAATTTCTATCCAATCTGTCAGGTTTCTTTTGAGTGTTACACTGCAAAAGTTCCCGCCTGCTTCCGAGTTAAGTTTAGAAGTTATCACAGCAGTAAGATGTTTGCATTTCGGGATTTGTGTTCGACAAAAACCTTTTTGAAAAGCACAATTGTGGGGCGATAAGTTTCCTGAAGGAATTATAATTTAATTCCTGCCCAGAAAACCTTGAATCTGGAACAAATATTTTGCAGAAAACAGGTAGCGCCCTGTTACTATTTCAAGTTTAGACCATGTCGAGCTTTTGGCAGAGCTTTCCTCGGAGGAGCCTTGACAGGTATAACATTTGCTGCTGAGAGAGGATCTCAACGAGAAATTTGTTTCCTTTACATTTTATATGTTGAACTGATCTGATCTACTGTTGGCCTTAACTACTTCTTTAACACAATACTCAATCAGAAATCTAATGCCAAACTCATGTTCTCTCCCGTGTTGATTTTGTCACTTATTAAAATTAAAATTAAAATTTTTCACTTATCCACTTCCAGTCTCGGCACATCGCTCACCATGGACCAGTTTGCTTGGAGTAATCACGATGCGCTCTACTACATGGGCATATTGATGTCGGTCGGCGCAATAGTCGCACTTGCCACATTCGTTGCCATTAATCCGCTTTGTAAAATATTTCCTGAGCATTATGTGCTCATCTGGGGTGGCTTCTCGCTTATGGTACTCGGTCGTGTGCTGTATATACCATGGGGTGATGGCCCACCTAAAATTGCCGAAGTTTACAATGACACAATACCGTTAACAGGCAACGCCACAATCGATTACGAGCCGAATCATGAAATATTTCTTGGTTGCCCTAAGACACAGCAGTGGTGTGAAGTGACACCGGCTTTAACGCTTACACAATTCATCATCGGTTATGCATTCACATCGATTGGCTATCCAATAGGCGTCACACTGATACAAACGATTTTCTCCAAAGTGTTGGGACCACGACCACAAGGTGTTTGGATGGGTCTGATGACCGGTGCGGGTTGTTTGTCACGTGTTTTGGGTCCAGTTTTTGTTGGTGTCATCTATACGCGGTATGGTACTTACTGGACCTTCGGCTTTACCTCCGTGATGATGTTCATTGCCATGATTTGGTTGTTGTTATCGAAGTGAGTGTGAGAGAGTTTTGTATAGACATGAATTTTAATTATTTATTTAACGGTTTTATATTTTTTATCGTTTTAAGAAATCGTTTAATACCACCGTCTTTCGATAGTCCATTGACTACGGAAATGCAAACATTGAGTACAAATAAAGTGCCAATCCCAACCGACGAAGCAGAGTACAAAGTGACGTCACAAAATGATGATGATTCGGCGCTAGAAGAGGATGAAGAGAATATAAACAATGCACTGAACACAGCGTTGTGCTCGGATAAAAATAATATAACCATAGTTGTAGCTGGAAGATGATTTTATGTGCATATCAAATACTTACTGTACATATGTACATATGTACAAAGATATATATAAATACATATATATAATATACATATATACGTACACGTTAGAAAATTAGAAATTTTACTGGCTTATACATATATACATACACACCCAGAAGCCAGGTATATGTAAGAATTTATTCTAGTAGTTTGAGGAATACTTAATGTGTTTGTATATATGTATCATATTAAATAATATTATAAAATTAATTAATTTTTAGTTAATAGTTTTCTATAGTTCATTATGCAAACGTATTCTTTAATTTAGAAAAAAAATTATTTTTATTATTATATTTTTTATATAAGAAAAAAATGCATATTTTTTATATTTAAAATTTTAATGTGCAGTAAAAAATATGAAATGTAAATGTACATATGTAGGTGTTATAAAGCAAAAGCAATAAATTGTTAATAATGAATAATAACAATATTTGTCTAATTAATGGTACCTATAGATTGGTCGGCGGCCGCGATAGCCGAGTAATTAGCATTGCGTAGTGACATTCGGAAGGCTCGGGTTTATATCCCGTTGCCTCCAACGTCCAAAAGTTATGGAAAAATAATTTAAATGAAAAATGAAATTAAATTTTCTAATTGCGATCGCCCCTCGGTAGGGAATGTCAACCTCCACCGAGTGTATTTTGGTCATGAAATAAAGGCTCCTCGTAAAAAACCATAAGGTGTTTGGAGGCGGCTTAGTATAAACAGTAGATCCTTCCATTGGAAAAGACGCAAAACCAACAAATTGAAGGAAGAGCTTGGCCGAAAAATCGCTTCAGCGGTTACCAAGCGCTATGAATTTATGTAAATAAAATAATCTAAAAATCTTTGTAAATATTAAATTATCCTTCTCTACTATCGCTAGAATTATCTGGATTTTAGATCCACCGTTTCGCTCGATTACTTTTGCCAATTTGAAGGTAATGCCATTTCATCTCCCTACTAGAAACCTTTGTCCCTATTGGGAAAAAGCTGGGAAAATAGATTTACGCAGAATTCTTCACCAGCAAAATCATTCGACATAGACAAGAACAGATGATAATCATTTAGTGTGATGTCCGGACTATAAGGTGGATACATAAGACCTTCTCAACAAAGAAATAGGTTTGGTGTCGTTATCCTATTGGGATATCCACTTGTGTGATATTTACTACCAAGGAATTAGCTACACAGATTTCTTGTTGGGATAGACGGAAGACATGTATCCAGTGCTCTTGATGTGCGTACACACCAACGATTATGATTCTCGGTGAAACTAAAGGATTTTGGAAAGGTCGCAAAATTAGCTGGTACGATAAGGACCATGTCGTAGTACAGAGAAAACAAATTGCCTACCTAGTAACGTTGCGAAGAGGGAAGTAAGACGTATTTGCTGACCCGACAAAAGAAAGAAAGAGGACGGGGTGCTTGAGTATGAGGAGCTTGAGAAGCTGGCGACTTACGAAAGGTTTCAAGACCGGAGCAGACTCTTGTAGGGGAACACCTCTCCAGCCTGCTGAATGGCAGTAACAATGAAACACCATGAGATGTGAACCCGAAATCCCAATTTAAGGCGATGGAAAGGACGTTTCGTTATACGACTATGAAGAAATTCGAAAAGCAAGCGGCCGTTAAAAAACCAACAAATCTGTACAAAGTATATTAATATTAATTAATATTTTCTTTACTTTCTCTAGATTTTTTGCAAAGATGTTTTTTCTACATTATATCATATTTTTTATATTTCGAGACTTAGAGTGTCGAGAGTTCATGTTACATCGCCTATGATTATTTTCATTTTATGGCGTGAAAAAGTAGCTGCTGCAAAATTCTGTTTCGAACGTAGAGAAACCTTAAAAGTATTGACAACACAGATAACATCAATTTTTATATCACCCTTTTCACATTATAGTATTAAAAGCATTAAATCATTAATCAAATTACTATTTGAAATTTTTTATAATTAGAAAACTAAAAAGCATTCTCTCCCAAGGCCAGTCAAAATTATAAAAACTTTTATTTTTACAACATAAAAATATTTGTTACTGCGCAATAAAATATTAAAATTATTATTGTATAATTAATTGAATCAGATAAATAAATAAAATAAAGAAATAAAAAATTAAAAAAAAATATTAAATTAAATAATTTAAAATAAAATTATATGAAAGGAAAGAAATTGAAATAAAATAAAATAAAAAAAAATTGAAATGAAAATAAAATAAAATAAAAAATTAAAAAAAATAACTGAAATGAAAATAAATTAAATAAAAATAAAATAAAATAAAGTAAAATCAAATATAATAAAATAAAATAAAATAAAATAAAATAAAATAAAATAAAATAAAATAAAATAAAATAAAATAAAATAAAATAAAATAAAACAAAATAAAATAAAATAAGTTAGAATATAATAAGACAAAACAAAATAAGAAAATGAAATAAAGTAAAATAAAACAAAATAAAATAGAACAAAATAAATTAAATAAAATAAAATAAGAAATTAAAGAATATAAATAAAAATAAAGAATAGTTGAATACATTAAAATCAAGTAAATTAAAAGAAAAAATGAGATAAAATAAAATGAAATTAATTAAATTAAACGAAATGAAATAAATAACAAATTTAATTGAAAAAAAAAAATAAAAATATAGAGTAAGTAAAACAAATAAATAAAATTATGTAAAATAAAAGTGAATTAAAATAAAATCAAATAAAGAAAATAAAGTATATTAAAAGAAGTTAAAATAAAGTCAAATAAAACAAAATACAATTAAGTTCTTAAGTTTTAATGAATATTTGTCGTAACTTTTTAACAACATATAAAATTTTAAAAATTGCTTGTCTGTAAAAGCATTTATTTCATAAAATTCTTCTGAGAGCAAACTTATATGTACTTTGTGTTGTGAAATGCCGAGTCACGTTAACGTCACTCATAAAAACTCTACTCGGTAAATTACATTTTATTGTAATTGAGCTTTCACTCAAAAAGCTTAAGTTATCAAAAGAAGAAATTAGTTTATGATTAAATAAATAAAAAAGTGTGATAAGAGCTTTCATACATACATTTGTACATACATATGTATCTTACAAAATTTAGAGTCTAATGTTTAGATCAAACCAGAATAGCGTTCTGAAAAGATTAGCATTTAAGGAGAGAGTGCGAGAGAGAGAGTAAGTAAAAGCTACTACAAAATGAATTAGATTTTAATCGGAATTTCACGGTAATGATCAGTACTCAGACTTCACGGTGAACACAATAGAGTTGCTTCTAATTTAGTTAGAAAAATAAAGCAGTAATAATCTACTGCGCTCTTTCCAAAGGATTAATGGTGAATGTTTTAACCAAACCAAAAAGGCATACTTTACAGATAATGCAACCATATCACTGCCGTTACTGGCGCCAGATTGGACATAGGACTAAGATATCTATTTAAACCAATTTTAAAATGTAAATATGTAAAATTTCAAAACTTTCTTTACGTTGTCTCAATAAAAGAATAGCTAAATAAGCATACAAATTAATAATCGAAAAATTTCTATTTATTTTCGATTTTTTAAAAACAATTCTGTTGAATTTTACCCCAAGAACCTGTAAATCCTAAAGCCGCTCCGCTCCGTTATTTATATATATAATATATACTTTGTATGTTTCAAAACTTTAATTGCATTTGTCTCGAAACCTGTTTTTTGAAGTTGGCTAGTAGCAGGACTCAAACAATTTTCAATATTTTCAATTGGATTTTTTCGTGCCCGATTTCAAGTGCAAACTAAAATTGAAATTTTTTGAAAAAAGCGATTTTATTAATCAATTATGTATTCGCGATCATGTTCGGCAATCCACTCCCAACGTTCAACTAATTTACGGATGCCTGATTCAATGAAATCGCTCGGTTTCTCGTTGAAAAAGGTGACAAGGTGGTTTTTGACGTCTTCCACATTTTCAAATTTTTTTCCATTCAAATTGTTCTGCAGCGATCGAAACAAATGATAATCAGAAGGTGCAATGTCGGGTGAATATGGGGGATGCGGCATGATTTCCCAATTCATTTCCAGGGTCGGTTTTGCAAAATCGCCAAAATCGGACGTTTTACATCAATTGCTTTCTTCAATTCGACCAATTGTTGACAATACTTGTTGGCAGTGATCGTTTCTCCAGCTGGCAAGAGCTCAAAATAGATCACGCCTCGGATATCCCACCAAATGCACAGCAGTACCTTCATCGGATGCAATCCACCTTTCGACATCGGTTCCGCCCCTTCGTGTGCCTGTTTCCATGTTCTTTTGCGTTGAACACTGTTGTACAGGATCCATTTTTGATCACCAGTCACGAGCCGATCGAAAAAAGGTTTGTTTTTGATCCGTCGAAGCAAAGAAATTGCTGTTGACATACGGTCCACTTTGTTTTTTTCACTCAACTGATGTGGCACCCATGTATCGAGCTTCAAAGTGTACCCAATCTTTTTTAGACGACGAAACGCAGTTGATTTGTCAACGTTCAATTCACTGGCTACCTCTTCCGTCGAAATACGTGAGTTATTCGCAACTAAAGTCCTTAGAACATCGTCATCAAGCTCAGAAGGCCGTCCACTGCGAGGTTGATCTTCGAGGTTAAAATCTCCAGAACGAAATTTCGCGAACCATTTCTTTACTGTGCGGAGTGCTGGAGCACGGTCCAAATACACTTCGTGAATATCTTTAGTTGCAGCGCCTACTGTTTTTCCTTTGCGGAATTCGTATAACATAATATGGCGCATATGATCTTTTTCGTTGTCCATCTTCCATGCGTCTTTTCACTAAGCAACTCAAATCAAAATGAAGTTATTTTATGCTTGATTTACAGTGCGGACTGTCACCTTTCCAACGATATATAATATGTATATATTTCTTTCACGAACTCTCAAACGATTCGAACGGCATCCAGCGGAATCGAGCACGAACTTATGCACTCATCCAATATATACAGCTATATTTAAACCAAGGGTTAAGATGACTAAACAATACTGTACAACTTTGATTTTGTGCTGAGTCACGTAGATTTATAACAAATAAATAAAAATAATTATTATATTTATACTACAATATAATCGAGCTTTTACTAGAAAAGCTTAAGTTACCGAAACCAATCTTAATTTATGAAATTACCTAATAAATATGAACACATTTATCTTTGTACATATTAGACTAGCGTGATCAATGAGTTAGCATTAAAAGAGTCAGAGGGTGGGAGAGAGAAAGAAAAAACAATACGAGGAAAATAAATTCGTATTAATTATTCTCCGGCGCTATTTGTTTAATAAATTCTGAGACAAAATTTTTTTTCAGTTTCCAAAAAAAAAATAAAAAAAAAATTATGAAGAAAATCTCTCTAGCAAACAAATGAATTTGCAGAAAAATATTAAATATTATATTTTTCTAAAATAAAATTTTTGAATTGGAATTTTGTAGAACTAACGGTGTTTTAATATATTTAATCTCTTTTTTTTATCAAAAATTAAAACTGAAAAATCGGAGCACTCATCATGATAACAAAGCTTCAAATAATTTCATTGTAATTTCAAAACATTACTTGCACAACAAAAAAGCTACAATTCATATAAATAGCTGTAACATTTTTGAAAGCTTTTTCAGTGTTACACTTTGATTCACTTCAAACACACCTACTTAGCTACTAGCATTTCACGCAATTAATAACAATTAATAATGGAGCGCTGGCAAAATCGTGTCGCTGCCGTTACCGGCGCCAGTTCAGGCATTGGCGCTGCTACTGTAAAGGATCTACTCAAAGCCAATCTGGTGGTGGTCGGTCTTGCGCGTCGCTTGGAACGTATGGAAGAACTGAAAGCTAGTTTGCCCGCTGAACAGCAGAAACGTTTTCATCCGGTCGCTTGCGATGTGGCATCACAAGAATCGGTCGATACGGCATTCGATTGGATCATCAAAGAGCTGGGTGGCATCGATATTCTTGTGAATAATGCTGGTGTTTTCAAACCTGGTTATGCCTCCACAGCGGAACCCGCGGAATTACAAAGTATTATACAAATCAATCTGATGGGCGTGGTTTATTGTACACAACGTGCCTTCAAATCGATGAAAGAGCGAAATTTCGATGGTCACGTTGTGGTGGTGAATAGTGTTTTGGGTCATAGTGTACCCATAACTTTCGGTAGCAATCAACCACCAATAATGAACGTCTATCCGGCAACTAAGTTTGCGTTAACAGCACTAACGGAGATATATCGTCAGGAATTTCGTGGTTTAGAAACAAAAATTAAAATCACGGTGAGTATGCAGTGGATATTATTAATGAAAAGTGATTCGCTCGAAAAAAAAATTTATAAATAATAATATAAAAAAAAAATTAAAAAAAAAAAAACGATTTAAAAAAGAAATAAACAAACAATTATAATAAAATAATAGTATTTAATAAAGAAAGAAATTAAAAAAAAAAATAAGTAAAAGAGAAAATACAATTAAAATAAAAATTATATAATATATATATATATATAGTAAAAATGAAAATAAGCAAAGCGAGTTTAAATTTAGAAGAAAAAAAGTTATTAAAAAAGGATTTTAAACTCAAAATTATAAATAATAAGTTTATAATAAAAAGGAAAATTGAAAAAAAATTAATATTGACAGAAAAGTCAAAGGAAAATATTAAAAAGAATATTAAAAAAGATAAATATAAATATTAAAATAATAAAATAATTAATCAAAAAAAGTTTAAACGAATTAAAATTATAAAAACAAAAAAAATTAATACAAAAATCCTAAAAGGTTTACAATAAAAAGGGAAATAAAAAATTGTTTACTAAACACAAAAAATAAAAAATAAAAAAGGAGACAAAATAAAGACGGGAATTAAAAAGAAATAAAAAAAGACAATGATAGAAATAATTATAAATTAAAAAACACATAAAATGAAAACAAAGAGTAATAAGGAATAACCATAAATATTTATAATTAAAAGGGAAATGAAAAGTAGGTTACTACAGTATGAAAAATTGAAAAAAATGAAATGAGAAAGAAAAATTAAAAAAAAAATAAAAATAAAAAAAAATAAAAATTAAAAATAAAAGTAAAAGGAAAACTAATATTAAAATATAACAATAAAATATTAAACAGACAAAATTAAAAGTAAATTAAAAAAAAAAAAATAAAAACACATTAAAAAATCAAAATACAAAAATTAAAAATAATAATTATATTAAATTAAAATATACTCTACGTAATAATTGATTTAAAAAAATGACCTTATCGCTTTGTGGTACGCGTTTTTCTACTTTCTTAAGATAATGCGTGTATATGAGTTTTATTTGTAATCGATTGATTAGATAAATGCGTCCACTTGAGGTTTATATAATATACATATGTAATAATAATAATATATATACATATTTACATATTTCCAAATGTATATGACGTCCCTATTTATCTTTCAGAGCGTTAGTCCCGGTTTGACTGATACGGAAATTGTACCAGAAAAATTTAAGGGCGCTGAAGTGCCTAAATTGAAATCGGAGGATATTTCCAGTTGTATTCTCTTTACACTGTCCACGCCGCCTCACATGCAAATACATGAGATTACCGTTAAACCAACATTGGGGGAATAAACAGACGGTGTACCTTATTTTTTTTCAGAGTATTTTGGAAGTGCATTTGAAAATTAATAATATTAACAAAAAAAAAAAAACAATTTAAAAAATTATTTAACAAAAAAAAAAAAATAATTTAAAAAAATAATTTTAACAAAAAAAAATTAAAAAAAAATTATTTTAACAAAAAAAAAAAACAATTTAAAAATATTATTTTAACAAAAAAAAATTAAAAAAAAAATTATTTTAACAAAAAAAAAACAATTTAAAAAAATTATTTTAACAAAAAAAGGAATGTTTAAAATAAAATAAAAATAAATACGTAATAAAAAATGAGATATTTTCAAAACAAAAATAATTTTTTATATTTTAATGTTATTTTTTTTTGGAAATATATAAAAATAAAAAATTCAAATTCACCTAAATTTAAATATCAACATTCTTAATGTAGAAAGCTATGCATTGTGAGTTTTTCTTTTCATTATTACCGCTACAAAGCAATGCAAAATGCTGCTCTTTTCATAGTTTTTTCATCATTGATTGAACGAAGGCTACTTGCAATGAGATAAGACTACAATGGGTAAAAGTAATTACAATAATTATTTTTAAAATAATTTTTTTTTTTGTTATTTTTAGTTCATGGTAATTTTCCACATTCAACTCTAGAGTATGGGGAATGATTAATGAAATTCAAAAATGGCTTGACATAAAAACCAATTATGGTGCGTACTTTACATTAATATTTTTTAAATCAATTGTATTTCAGATAAAATAACAATAAATAAAAAAAAATTATAAAAAAAAGTATAATCAAAAATTATAAAATTACAAATTATACTGTTTGTATGTACATAAGAAGAAATGTATGTACGTGTATAATATAATACTTTTTCACAAAATTAATTCTCTCGAAATTTTTTTCTTGAATTTAGAAATGGATATCAATAAATTCGCATTTGTTTTAATGCACATATAACCTACATATGTAATATATATATGTACAAATAAATAGTTTGTAATTTAATAACATTTGTTTGAGAAAAAAAAATGTTTTCTCAATTATTATTAAATGTCAGTTACTATGTATTTATTAACTTTTTTTCTTTTTAGTGCTCATTTCGCATGCACTCGAAAAGCTTTTATTTACTAGTTGACGAACAATTTGCTTACTATATGTATGTACATATATCGTTATTAATATAGTACATATATAATTCTGGTCTCTATTTAAATACAGCACCTGTTTAAAACTAATTTAAAAATTCATACATACATATGCACATTTGTATGTATGCATGTACGAGTAACTTTGTATTTGTATTCCATTTATTTACAAGCACACATATAGAAATGCATAAGGAGAAGCTTTCGATTCATACATTGGGGTGGTCATTATGTAATAATGTAATAATTTTCATAAAATTAAGTTGCGATTTAAAAAAAAAAATAATATTTACACATACGAGTATAACGAGGAGTTATGGAAAATTAATTTAATTAAATTAAATTTTCCAATTGCGGTTGCCCGTCGGCAGTGAACGTCCACCCCTCTGAGTGTATTTCGGACATAAAATAAATGCTCCTCGTAAGAAACCATTAGCCCTTCGGAGGAGGAGCTCGACCGAAAGCTTTGTAACAGTTGATACGATTTCTGTATAGGAGAAAATATTTCTTAAAAACAAATGATCCGATCACTATCGAATTTTTTTTGAATGTTCTATATATAGTTCTCTGAACAATAAATTTTTGATCTGATCAAAAGATCGAATTTTGGCAGGCCAAAAACGACCAAAATTTTGGGTGAAATTCGACTATTTTTTTTAAAACACCGCCATATTGTCAATTTATGATTTTTTTTATCATAGGTCATTGTACAGACAATATTATCTAGTGGAGTATTTTTTTTTTTAGAATTCATTCATGGAGAAGGCCGGAAGCAGTGCGGCAGTTAAAAAATATTAAATTTTTTTCTTCAAAAATTTCACTGTATATTCTTGAAACATTTTTTAAAAATAATATATAAAAATTTTGAAATAATTGATAAAGTATTTTTTTAATGAAAATTCCCCAAAAATCACCTTTTTTTTAGGCAAAAGTGGCATAGTTATAAATTTATTCCATGACAATGAGGATCAGAGTAATATAATATATAATTGGTGCTTTTAACCGCTGAAGCGATTTTCTGCCGAGCTAATCCACTAATTTACCTCGTTCCGGCTTGATGTTTTCCTCCAACAAGTAGGGCGTCTTATAATTTATACCATGCAGTCTCCGAATTATCTTAAAAGCCTTTATTTCATGTCACAAATATACTGCGAGTGTTTGACCTGCGGAGGGGCGACTGTAATTACGAAAATATAATTTAATTATGTATAACTTTTACTGTTATACTTTTGATCGTTTCTCGTTAATTTTAATTAATTTTGAAATTTCAAATTTTAAATTTGGTTTTGTATTTAATGGAATTTAAAAATTTCATAATGTTGAACTTTTAAACGAAAAATTAATTTTTAATAAAATTTTACTTAATCGCACTAAATTTTTCATATATGTAAATACATACATATGTATGTACGTAAATCGAACCAGAAATCAATTTTAAAAATGTATTATTAACGCCTCCCAATACCACCCTAAAGTTTTGGTTTTCATGTATATACGTAACGAACACACACAACTACAGTACTTATGCACTTGTGGGAAGATAACCGTAATCACACGAAAGACACATTTGTTTTGTTGTCACCAGTAACGAGTAGAAAGAGAACAAAAACAAAAACCGATTCAATCAACAAAGCTTATCTCTACACTTCATTTACCGGCTAACTACGTCTCTACAGTTCAGTATTCGCTCACATCTCACAGTGAACAGTTAATTAATTTCTGAGCCTGAAGTAAATATTCAAAATGTCTTTGGAGCGTTGGTCAAATTGTACTGCCGTCGTAACTGGTGCCAGTTCGGGCATTGGTGTTGCCATTGTTAAGGAGCTGTTGGATGCAAACTCCACAATACGTGTAGCCGGCTTGGCTAGACGTTTGGAACGTATGGAAGAATTTCAAAAAATCTTACCCGATGATCAGCAGAAACGCTTTCATCCCATCGCGTGTGACGTCTCCTCATTGGAGTCGGTGAATACAGCTTTCGATTGGATTATTAAGAATTTAAGTGGCGTTGATATTCTCGTGAATAATGCTGGTATTTTTAATGCCGGTCAAGCTACGTCAATGAATCCGCTCGAGCTGCAACAAGTAATGCAAACCAATGTAATGGGTGTGGTGTTTTGTACCCAACGTGCATTCCAATCGATGAAGGATCGCAGTGTCGACGGACATGTTGTGATTGTGAATAGCATTATGGGTCACACGATACCAACGCTTGATGCACAAACAGCACCCAGCTCGAATTTGTATGCGCCAAGTAAATATGCGTTGACCGCACTCACCGAAATTTATCGGCAGGAGTTTAGGGGCTTGGGTACAAGGGTTAAAATTACGGTAAGCATGAAGTGTAGTGTAATTACTTATGTATTTTATTAATTTCTATTTATAACAGAGCATCAGTCCCGGCTTGACCGATACCGATATTGTTGCTGAACGTTCGCGTGGCGGTAAGAAGCCCATTTTACAGCCGGAGGATATTTCTCGTTGTGTCGCCTTTACACTCTCCACACCAGCGCACATGCAAATTCATGAGATGATTGTGAAGCCAGTGTTGGGCGAATAAAATATCTTGAAAATATTGTGAGGGTTCTTTTATAAACAATTCTTGTAGAGTTATTGGAGCCAGACTCGAAATATGTATTATTAAGAATAAATGAAAACAAAACAAAAAGTTTTATAGAATTAAATTATTTTTGAAACTCAGAATAGAAAATCTGTCAGAAGATCCAAGTAACTTCTACGTTGCGGAAGCTTCGTGAAACCGTGGAGGTTTTGGGTTGGTTGCCCAAGGTGGTTAAGGATGTTAAAGCACCACCGTAGAGGCTGGTGACGCACTTGAGTGCTGGCAGCATGAGGTCACGGAACGTGTGAACCATTCTCTATGTGTCTTAAGGACTGAGCAGACCTTTAGATGACTCCAGCCATTACACTGATTGCATCTAACGGAAATGAAGGAATGGTGGAGTCTTTTGTGGCATACGCGGCATAAATAATCTATCGCTCCAGGGTTGGTTTCAACGCCAGCCCTGATGAAAAGGATTTGGAGTAGGTACCTGCGAGATGTGGCTCCATTGGTGACTTTAGACTATTGTTACCTCTTAACCTAACCGGGGTTAGATCGCTGAGAGGGTGACACCTCTTGGCTGGATTAAAAAATCCGAATCAACTACGGTGCATAGAACCGGCTGTCGTGAGAGTTTAGGTCCCACAATGTCTGCGCTACAATGCCGCCTACGAATGACTGTTGGAATTTGCTGAGGACTTTGTATTTCTTACGAATTTAGCTGGACGAAAAATACCAAAAATTTACATACATATGCATGTATGTTCTACATAACCAAATGCCGCCGATTGGGAGAAGATACATCGACAGGTGTTCCTCTTTTATTTTACGTAAATAAATTAAAAATTGATAACAGGTAGCTATTAAAAAGTAGTATTAATAGTTTCAAGGGGAAAAAAGTTCGTTGCTATGCATGCCAGCACATATAATGGGACAACAACAGCTCTCTTTCTGGAGTAAACTCTTTCAAAAGTAGTGAGAAAAAGTCTACCCACCTCCAGCTTAACAAACCTAAAGTTCATTTTTTTCTCATCATTTATTGATATAAAAAGCTTTTACCAAACAAAACTATTAAAGCTTTCGTTAGCAAAACGAGCAGGAAGAGCTAACTACGGTGGTGCCGAGGTCTGTATACCTTTTATGAACATAAAAGATGTATGGTATGATAATTATTTTCCAAACCCCTTGAGTGCGATCACTGAAATGTTAAGTATTAGTACAAAACTTCAGCTAATTTAGTGTAAATACATAGTTTATTAATAACAGAACTCTCTAGAAACACATAGTTTATTCTACTGTAAAGACGTAGTTTACTTCGCCGAATTCCAAACTCAACTGAACATGTTGGTGAGTTAACCGCTGATCTTATATACTTATTGCTTCCTCGCACGCAACCCTAAATTGTTCTTTTTTGATTGTTCTCGATAACGAACATTCGATACACGTGCTCTCGAACATGTCTGAGTTGTCGACTAACCTTTTCAGCTTTATTGGTATTTTATGTGAAAAAATTCATGTTAACATTTTTCAACTGCAGCAAAAATAAATATCAATAAATCTCGGTATTTTATTTTGGTTCTATATCAATACATAATTTTTCACATGAAATTCTCAATCTGATTTTATGATTTTCGGTGTTAATGCCTATTTATATGTAAATACGTACATGGATTTTTGATCCAAAACCTCTCATCTGGTAGTATATATGTTATGTTCCCAGAAACGATCGTTTAAATGTTATAACTACCGATTTGGTTAAAATATCTCAGTGTCAGAAGGCGAGCTGACGAACACGACTAAATCAACTCAACTCGTTTCTCTATGGGTCTATTTCTTCTGCTTCTGGTAAACAGAGTGTTTCATGCTGCGGTTGTAAACCCGAATAACTGTTTTTCTTCACGAAATTTAGTCTTTTGCCTCAAAATAGGCCCCAGGATCAGTGATAGCCTCTTCATACGAGCGATATTTCTTCGCTGTTAGCAGTTTCCCGCGGTCTGAAAACATCCGGTAGACGGTGTAGGCCAAATTTGACGAATGCAATGAATCAACTAGCAGCCCGAAGTTCGATTCATTCACTTTTGGCATTGTGTTGAAGTCAGAAAACTAACTTTTTGTTATGTCTTTGTTAGAGGGATAAATACTCCTTTGCTCCTTAGCACTACACTAGTCACTGCCATAACTATACTTCAAGTAATCGACTATTGGTAGAATAAGCAAAAAAGAGTTGACTTTTTCCGTAGATAACTTTGTCTTCTGCACACTTTATTTCGTCGTTCACTCGATTTATTATATTATTGTGCTCGGATTGGTGGTTCGAGTCTTATTGTTTACCCTATCAATGTTTTTTTTTTTATTGCAAAAACCTGCATTTAAAATCATTGAAGGCAACTTAATCAATCACCCTTTAAAATTGTAACTTGCAAATTCGAAACAAAAAGCTCCCAAACGTGCTTTTGAATGCTTTTAAAACTGTTACCACAGTTTTATTTAAAACAGTTTGAGCGCCACCCTCAATCATTGGAACAGCTGTTAGAAGCTTTTATTTGCTTTTCGGTTGGTAATTCAAGATATAAATTTCCATTATTTTTTCGGCGCATAAAATTAATTCGTAATTGTTGTAAAAATGTACTTTTATAATTAATATACATATTTACATATATGTATATGTGCGTTTGGTCCAATGTACTTAACTAGTACCACCGCACTGCTGTGTATACAGTTTTCTGCGATCGAACATGCGTGGCACATCACGAAGGAGTCGGTGGAGTAGCGGATGTCTAGCGGGTGTTGAGCTGCCGCTGTAAATGTATCGATTCATTTGGAATATTATATTTACTTCTTTCTTCCCTTCATTCCAGGTTAACATGCTCCTTTGATGCCAGACTGTGATTATTGCGTATTCATCAGGAAATTTGTAATATTCATTTGTGTTTTCAGTTTTCATTTCTTTATTTCAATGAACACTTCCGTTGTCTGCATAATCATTTAACAACAGGCAAGGTGTGAAGGGCGAAAACAAAGCCTGTGAAGCTAGATTATGGAATCAAAAAACTGAATGCCGTTGCCGATTGAATAGTGAATGTATGTGGTATGCGGCACTAGTTTTCATATTGTAATCTACATATTGAATATCACGACGGACAAGTCTAGTGATTGCAGTCTAGTGTTTGCATAAACTAATAGAATAAGTTTCTTTTTACTTTAGTTCTTATTTCAGGCCCTAACGGAAGACGGCTGCTTGTAGTTATAACATTTAATCGTTATACAACAATTATTGCTTACTGATGAAAGGCAAAAGAAATTCGATATGAAAGGTACGTGTTAATATAATATATACAGAAATATGAAAAATAATATATAAAATTGTAAAATTTTTTCAGAATTATTAAAAATTACCGGTTAACCGGTTAAGGGATTTTAGGGCGATCAATTAAGAAATTTCGTCAACTTATTTTATTTATTTTTTGATATAATATGAAGATTTTTAATTTTAATAATTGAGTTATACAAACATATGTACATAAAAAAAATAAAATTACCGAAACTAATCAATCAGAAGTGGAATACCGGAGCTATAATACAGCTAATTAAGTATTACGGCTCCCACCGGGTATGTTAGAATTAACTGAACTTGCCATTAATTAGATCTTCAGGTTGCAAAAAATGTTACTCAAGATTTTTGGCAATAAAATCAACACTCCCATTCATTTTGTATCATTTTCAGTGGTGATAACGCCTCATATCATAATAAATCAAGAGCAGGTATATGCTAAACTACGTCCCCTTTACAGCACCTCGTTAAACAATGTCATGTAATCAAGCCAAATAATTAATTCGATCAAACCAAACAGCAAGTTTTATAATGTCTTGACAGAAACCTTTGTTGTCTTGTTACTCCCAACATTCCGCAAAGTCATAAATACTTAGATAAGTTACATATGACTAAAATCAAACTTGCCCTGCGCATGAATTGAGTTTTCGAAGAATAAAGTTCACCATGCAGTGCCAATGGCAGATATTAAGGATTTCCCATTACCAGGTTTGCAGTGAAAGACCATACTCCTAAGTAAACAGTGTGTTTGTCAACCATCAGTAAAATTTCTAAGTCACAACTTCATGTTAAAAAAAAAGAAAAACCATAATGTCCCCACTGTGGTTTCATTTCTACACCCACTCACTTCAGCTCCAAAGGAACTCTCTTTGATCTTATACATATGTTAACGAGTGCCCGATTATGATATCCGGACAGCATATTGAACTTCGATGAGAGACAAACAGTTACTAAGGCATTCTCCACTTTTTCGCTTCAGACATCTAAAACGTGAAATCCACCTGGTGGAAGGAATCCAGGTGATTTAGGTAATACTGGCGGCTGGATCTGAACGCCCAAGTCGATAACGAAAAAGTTTCGACTGTCAAAAATCCAAAGCTACATGACTTCTTTATTCTGCATACCATTGCTTCGGTTACCCAAGTGAAGAACCGCAACATAAATCATCAGGTCGCATCTAGAACAAAGACAAATATATTTCACTAACAACTTACAAAGATATCGCCCGGCCGAACATAAATAATGCCACATTGAACTGAAACTAACGAAACGCAGCTGAAGTAGCTCTAGTCCTGTTAAAACACCGTCTTGAGGGCCGCAACGGAAAACCTCTTGTTGCGCGACATCTATGTTCGTAGTAAAGAAGAATAAGGTTATGTTTTGCGGAAAATTCCTGCTAGGGTGGTACCATACAGGTTAGAGAGAAGGTGCAATATTAAATGAACTCTACTCATCAGCACAAAACAGAACCACTGTATGCGACATACCACCTGCAGTCCTGTAGCGAATTTTATTGAAGTTGAGTCAAGTTTTCTTGGTCCATGATTTGTGTTATCCATAGTCGAGCGTATAGTGGACAAGGAAATGGAGCTGCACCGTGAGTAATCCTGTTATAACTAAGATCTGGATATAGTATTAGACTATATCCGGGCTCGACTTATGTTGTAGGCGAAAAACCTTTGCTGCCTCGTAAGATCCGGGTAATCCTGACACAACTGAGGTGTAGACATTCTAGATCTATCCAGATTTGACCACGACCCCGCGAATGAGTAGCCTAGGCGAGACTGAGGCGTTAAACAGCTCGTTTCCTTGACTTCCCTTGCTCCTTAGTGGAGCTGCCATAATGCTAGAAGTGAAAAATAAATTTTAAATAAAAAAAAATCGGACTGCCCACTTTTGGATATTCAAAATACAACTAATTACCTTGTAAATTTCAATTCGATTAGCTGCAGGGAGAGACAAGCTTTGTCTCTGAATATGCAATGCGAATAGCAGATGAAGTCAAAGGACGTACACTGGAAAAAATGCCAAAATAACAAAATTAATGCTCATTATCCGCTAACATATTATCCTTGCAGAGCACGCCCCGCGGCACATATTGTAATTGCAAAGCGTTAAGCGAACGGGCTGCCACAAACATACAGCTGCCGACAATGCAAAGCGTGAAATACACACACATCCACGTAAGTAGATAACTAAAACCGAAACTGGGGTCGGATGTGTGTGTGTGTGTGGGGGGTGGGTGTATGTGTGGGAGAAAGCCAAATCGTATAATTGCCACAACCAAAGCTGCAGTCAGCGCTGTAGCGTGCACAAAGGACGCGTCGAAATGCGGTCGTTAGAATGCTGTCGTGGAGGACACAGCCGCCTCTTTGCTGTCATTTTTTCCATGCCACATACATACGAGTACAATTTGCTGAGTAGTTGGCTGTTGGAGTTTATACAAACTGCCACCGGAAGCACTTCGGCAACGCCTTTGTATGCCAGCACACCATGGCCATGGTATGCCATGCTGGCACGCATATGCACACTTGCAGATAGGTGTTGAGATAGTTTTATATTTTTTCGCATGTTTTTTTTTTATTATTTTTGAGTGCAAATAGTACTTACGTAATACGCACAAAGCGTGTGTGGGCGCAACTGACATGCTTGCGCTGGCTTTCGACGTTCGCTCATTGCTTAAGTGCATTCATTGCATTTTATTTGCTCATTTTTCTTCACCACATGCACATTATTTATATATATATGTATATATATATGTGTGTGTGCGTATAATAGTATCTCATAACCACTGTATCGATGTTTGGCCACACTTCACCTTCAATTTGTGGCTTGCGCTTGGTTGTTTGCTCCACTAAATGGAAAAAGCTGCACTTTAAAGCTTTCTCGGACTTGCGGATTTTTCTGAAGAGCTTTATAGTCTATACTTTGTGAGTGATGGACACTCTCTGTTGAGGAGCGAATGCGTTTAAATAATTTTTTATTACAACTTCCGATATGAAATTCGAATTTATGACCATCCTCACAGTAGCACGCACTACTGGATTACTGCGGCTAACACATGCTCTGTACAAATACATATAATATACATACGTTCATACGTACATACTTATATTTGGTGTTTTCCTTTGTGTTAATCCCCATGCAATTTCCTAACCTCAAATGCATGCGTTGCTGTGGCTCTAAGCTACGTGTATGATGTTGAAGGCATGCATATATCTCTTTGTATACACATATATTCGTATATATGTGTGTGTGTGACTGTGTTGGTTATCTAATTTTGTTTGACACACATACGCTGGCACTCCGTAAATGATTCTATGCACCGACGCTTACAAGTAATTGTCTTATGTTATTGTTGTTGTTAAGGTCAGCATTGTAGAATTTTAAAATAGAACTTTATGGTATAATAGAAAATGTTTAAAACTATTTGTTAAACTAACAAAGCATTAAAATCACCACCAGTCAGAGGTGGCCCGCCACCCCCACTCCCCTCTAACATAAACTGCTTCTTTTGTGACCTCGAAAGTTTACGAGTATGATATTAGCGCAATTTTCCAGTGCATTACATGAGCGCAGTGGAGCGTGGCTAGTGAAGTAATGAGAGAGAGAGAGCGAGAGCGAAAGAGAGTGAGAAAGATGTCGTTATTTGGTAACTTTCAACTTCGGTTTTTATATGAGTAGACCGTAGAATGATGTCAGAGAGCTATGACTGAATTTTGTCTACGTGTTCGACGGAGTTTGGATAAACTCTAAAATGAATTTTGGTGGTACATAGTTTAGGTTAGGTTCCACTGGGTGATAGCTAGACCACGCAATAAACCACTTGTTCATTTGTAGTGCCAGTTGATGGGAGCCTCCAGTTATTTTGAATTGTATTAGACGCCATTTGGCACATCAACGGCTCTTACTAAGCTTAAGAGCAACCCGACATCTTGCTTTGATACTTCTAATAGTTTTCTGCCGCGTAGAGGGTCGAGATGTCTTTGAATATTTCACAATAAGGCCAAGCATACACAGAGGTTCTACAATCGTACTGCAGACCTTTCAAGTTTGTGTGTGGCTCTATCCCCCTTTGTTATCTTTGAGACTGATTTTTTTTTGGCCCTGCCTTAGCCTTGGCGTTTTGGGAATTTCCTACACTGGCTCCGTCGCTTGATGAATAACACCTTCGGCAATCTCTTCAACCATTTTGTTCAATTCAATGTTCTTGTGCCTGGAACTTAGCAGATATATATTTGCTCTATCGCAGCCGTTCTATTCATTGAATTTCTGTCCCAAAGAACATTTTTTTACGTAATAAATGTATCCGTCTTCATTCTATCGTAGGTTCTGGTACGCGCCTTGGCGTTATCTCCAACAAAACGTCCTGTTCTAATCACAGCGTTAATCTACCTACTTATCTTACTCTCAGCAATCTTTCCAGGTATCTGAAGTATACGAATTGGTGGTTGTTTAGCGGAAAAGCACTCATCTTTCGTTCCGAAGAGAGCTCAGCACCCTCTACAGAAACTTTTTAAGCTTCTCGATATTTTCAGATCTACTTGTAGGTAGACATTTGAAAGCTTACATTCTCCGGGAACTTTAAACGGTGGAGAGAAAATCCTTCAGACATAACAGATCTATCTTGAAGACAAGAAGTCTTGGGCTTCCCTCAAATCGCCGCTTACTGTTTTGTAGCTCCACACCTGGGAGCATATTTTTAGGGATTTGGTGGATTGCCTTATCTGTGGTGACCTTTTAAGCGAGTTTCCGAGGCATTCGAATTAAGTGTACTGTTTATGAAGGAAACAAGTCTGCTGTAGAAGCTCGATGACCTGGCTGAGCTTGGTATCTCCAAATGGCGCCAAAAAGTGAAAAAAGAAATGAACATCGCAATGTTATAAAATCGGCTATAATGGCGTAAGTGGAGTCTACGCCAGTAAAGAAGAAGAATGAAGCTCTATGCGAGAAAGAAAATTCCAGAAAGGTAGACAAGCTTCGGGGCGCTAAGAAAAACAAAAATTGATTTCGATCCCAGAAAACTAGGCCTCTGACCTTTACAAGACCACTCTTCTGCTAAAAGCAATAGTGGTGCTGATATTGAACCTTTAGAAGTCTTTCAATTATCTCCCAAAGCCTTTATGCCGGTTGGTATCTTTTCAAGTCAGACGCCAGCTCCCAGCCGCAACTCTGGTAAACAGACACTACAGTCAGACTTTTGAAGCTTTTAAACCAAGATTGGCTCTGCTGAAGATCGTCCTCTTCTAGTCATAACGCAAGGTATCATACGGGTCGGTTGCCAGAAATCGGGTAAAGGTCGCTCATCCCGGCAAAGACGGTCTAAAAGCCGTGAGGTTTCTATAAGGGCAATTAGAACTTATTTCGATAGTAAATAAGCGGAAGTTTCAAAAAGCATTGTACTTCCAAGATCACAGATCTCCGCAGGAGGAGGAGCGTTTCTCTGACTAGAGTGAGATTTATGATCTTTCAAGGCCTATAAGCTGCTCAACTGGGTAAACTTGGACCGCCGAGTTGAGTCTAACTTTGAAATTTGAAAAATCTGACCCACTTTGCTTTGGGGAAACTAACGGTATCATGAAAATAAGTCATCAAAACTAATTAATGCAACACCGAGCGTTGTCGATCCAAAATATTTCTATTTATAATAGAATTAACTCAACACAGACATACACACACCAACACCTGCTCACGCCGAAACAACTCGTTAAGCTCATGGAGATTACAAATAAAATGACTCTGGACAGTTAATTATAAAGCGAACAGTGCAGCATAAAAGTAATGCCACATCAGCGCTAACCCACCAACTGTTGAGACCATGTACCCCGTCAAGCTGCTGCTTTAGCTTGCTTGTCGCGCCAAACAAGGAGAAAAAGAAGAAAAAAAGCCCGCGACCAATGAGTGTGAAAATGCCAATGACAATAACAACAAAAGTGCACTTCAAGCGTAGCGAAGGACTGTGAAAACGTCAATGATGAGCAGCGCTCAGCTGGTATTGGAGCAGCCAGCAGTCAGCCGGAGGTTTTAGTGACACTGACTAGCAAAGGGCGGAAATATTAAATGAATTTTCCACAGAATGCTGCACAAGGATGTACAAGGTCATCAGCAGACAAACGAAAAACCGAGATTATACAATCAAGTAAAAGCGCAGAGCGAGCAAACACAGCACACCCCAACTGCCACACAGCGTAGCGTATGACCTGCAACATAGTGAGTCCGTATGCTTTTGTAAGCGCGTTGGATAAAACAATGAGCTAAGGGAAAACCAATCTTAATGACCATAAGCTCAGCAAATGGAATTACACGGGATTGGCGAAGTCAAGCGCTAAAGCAATGGCGGTACGTCGTCGAAAAGGCGTCCAGCTGGTGAACCGTGGTGGAGCAAGCAAGCAACCAAGCGACCAAGCGACCCAGCAAGAGACCAACAAACCAACAATCTGTTTGTCGGCGAGCACAATGGGGTTTTAAACAAACACCTAATGCGCATACTTCCACATACATACAAAAATACATACTCGTACATATATAAGTGCAGAACAATGCACTTGCAACTGGCTCTTGGTGGCAGACCGGTGACTGCAAACCACAGCTGGTTTTACAGGATGCTTTGTGTGCTCTGGTCATAATTTGAGTGAGCGGGAGCAGCCAAGCTGGGCGAACTAGAAGAAGTACGCGACGTGGAGTGTGACCATAGAAGATGGCAATGAGAGCAATGTGTCTTTAGTGAAAATAAGAGGAAATTATATTTCCTGTCATACATTTTCAATATTGCTCATGTAATGGTCTTGTGTAAACTTAATATTGTAAGGGGTGAGCTGGAGTTTGTGGAGCGGAAGGGCATAGGTAGAGGAAGTGTTTAATGGTTAGATTTTCTGTGGCACGAAAAGCATTTTTCAAAGTTTTTTATTTACATAAATTGCCAGAATAGAAATGCTGTTGGCGACTCTTGAGCTTAGGTAGGCTTAGGTTACTCGTTAAAGTGTTGAATTGAGAGAGGTCAACACAGAAACCTTCGCTCTAGCCGAGTGGAGTGCGTGCTACTACCTGGTGGGTGACGGATTTCAGCCAAGAGAAGTAGATTCAGTTGCTCTTGGTTCCATTTTGAGAATTAAGGTGCTAACAGACGGGCGCCAAAGCGTTTGGTCTCTTGGTAAACACTTTATTTATTTTCGTATCAGAGCAGTTAGAACCCTGTATACGCAGACTTTTTCGAATGGAGTGTATCATTCTTGACTTCATGGATCCGGATTACGGTTCCCAATTGCAAATTCTCTTACCAGAAAGTCAGTGTTCGTATAAATTGTTGCCATTTTCTATAAAAACGAAGTCTATTCCACGCCAAGGCTCCGAGTGTAGCTGGAAACTACACTACGATTAAAAGTTTTCATTCTGTACTAACTTACTGGTTAATCTCGGGACATCTTGGTACCCAATCGTTCCGTTAAAACTTGTGTAGTAAAAAACTGCTTGTCTTGGAGCTCTTCATTAAGTTTTATCTCGTTTCGAGGATCTCTGCTCAGCTCGATTACACCTTTCCCATATTTCCGTTGAGAGCTCGGTGCAAGCTCTGTAATTATTGACCCCGGAGCAACGGAACCCTCAATAGTAACGTACCTCAGAAAAGAAACAATCGCCTGACTTGGTGTTGCAAAGGCTGGTTCCACACATACAAATTTGAAGTGCAATCAATATCAAATAGGGTCTGTGTATCATAGAAAATGAGCAGGAACCAAAATCTTCGAAATGAACTACGCAGCTACTACTAAAAAAAATATGGTCGGAAGCGATCTACAATCTGCTCTGAGCTCTTACGTATACAATTACTGATCTCCGAGAAAAGGGTGGCCTCAACAGTGACGTGTCTCAAAAAGGAGCAAAAAAAAGCAAAAAAAAAGACATTGCCTTAGAGGTTCATAGGATGGCTCATTTTCTTTTGTGGTAGTTTTGCTTGTTAACGTAAACGCCGAGGTGAAACTGAGCCTCACCGGAAAAAAGGGTTACTCGGTAAAACGTAATCGCATCGGATGGCCATGAGGCTTTAGTTCTTTAACCAAAATTGAATTTTACAAAACGAGATCTTAATGAAAAGTCCTGGGCGAATGGCGACCTACGAACGGTGTCGAACTGATGTTGATGGCTGCTCGCGCCATTTTGGGCCCGAATTTTGAGCAAAACAAAGGATATACCTAAAGTTTGTTCTAAGCTGCTTTCGAACGGGTGTCGGACTTTTATGTAACTTTTTTTTTCCTATTAGAAATACACTCGGAGGGCTTGACATACTCTGCCGAGAACCACCGCAACTAATTCTCTATATTTTTGATATTGGACGGTCTAGTATTCGAATCCAGTATCTTCCGGTTGGTAGTACACTAGAGGTGTTTACTATATTATTACTTACAAATAAAGGATATCCCCACACAAAACAATGAAAGGAGTTATCAGCAGCTCTTTATTTGTGAGGGCTGTCTTCAAAAAACGCAGAGAATACCTTCCAGAAATTACTGAAAAAATTATTGCGAGGTTTCAATAAAATCTCTTGAGGGGCTTTTCTCGAGGAGACCAAGGTTACAAATGACTCATTTTCGTTTCCTCACCCAAATTCGTAGCCAACAGCCTTTCATACCATACCGATCATAATTCCTGCATTGTTAATATCACCGTTACAATTTTGCGGTATTCATTACTTTCTCTATGTCACAGTCGAAGTGATTATGTGGCTTTTCAGAGCTGCTTCTGTCTGTTTGTATAACTCATATCTACTTATATTATATGTATTTGTGTGCATGCATTCCTTTCGCTGTTCTGCTGGTTTAAGATTTCACTGCGACTTCCTTGCTTGCTTGACATTTCAAAAATTAATTAAAAACGTTGATGATGGAACTGTGTTGTTGGGACGAAGTTAAAGAATCATAAAGAATAGAAGGAGAGTCTGTTGTGGCTTAATAACGATGCTGCATAATGGCATTGAAGCGCAAAAGTTGTGTAAATGCTACGTGGTTGTTGTTGCTGGTCGCTGGTTTGGCTTCGGTTGTCCTCTTTGCTTGTTGGCCTTTTTGGCTCTGCAAGTAATTGAATAGTTAAACTAGCTGTCTCATAATCGTTTGTGTATAATTTCTAAAAGTTTATGACGAACGTCATTTCTTATCTAATTTTCAACAGTTTGAGAGCCTTTGTGTGTGTGCTTGATGCGCTCGGTTGATACGCTCCATGAATGGTACTCGTTATTGGTTAATTCAAGTTGTGTTTTTGCCAGTTGTAAACTCTGGTCGTCAATTATGAAGCTCGTTGGTGATTAGAATTTTGCTTTAGTGCTAAAGTGTAGAATGAAAAGATGAAATCAATTTAAATGTAATTATTTTGAAATTTATTTTTAAATTTTAAAGAACCACAACTCACAGCGTTCATCCGTTATGGGTGAGTGACGACGATAATTCGTGATATTGTTGTTGTTATTGTAGGTGCAACGTTAACTCCAGGTCGACTGGCTTAAAATCAATCCAAGCAACCGAAGTCATTTAGTGGTAGGCCCAGGAAACGTGCCTTTCGACGGGATCGGACCTTAAAGAGAGAGGGGTTAGATGTGTCGGCTTACGGGGACATGTGTAGAGGTGGTTAGTGTCGTGCGGAGACTCTCCACATGCTCGCTATGCTATTCTCTAGACAGCCGGGATTCCATCCAGCCAAGGGCTATCACCCTTTCGGTGACCTAACCCCGTTTAAATCAAAAGGTAACGATAATTCGTCGAAAGGGTTTGTGACGTTATGTTTACTATACTAATAAGCAACAGAAAATTAGAATGTTTAGAAAGGCAGTAGTCATCTGTTCGTCAAGTTTATTTCCCTTAGCAGGAGTATTAAGAAGTAAATTCATTGAGCTGAGGTGGAGTTCGTTCCTACTGCTTGATCACATATTAGCAGGCTGCGTTCCTGAATTTTTAAAAAATTTTATTCATGGTAGGTCTCCCTGCTATATGATATAGAACTAAAACTCACTACAGATCAGTAAGATTATGGAGGCGGCTCTTCAAAAATTATATCTATGGGCGCACAATGGAGCAGTTGTCAAATAGAACTTGCTTCAATTAACGGCAAACTGCTTTCCATATCGATAAGGTGCCAGAAGAACGAACTATGACACTATTCTAATCTATATTGACGGGTCCGAACTATGCCAGAGCAGCTCCCAAATGGACTACGGACTAGGTGTTGAGTATACGGAAAAGATTTTACTATTTCACTCTCCTTCTTTAAATAAGCGTTTTACACTGTGGCGGAATTAGGGAAGGAAAATGCGTGGAGGACAGTAATGAATAATTACTGGAGAACGCCTTCATTTTCAGGACTTGGGAACGTAGTCGATAATGAGGAAGCCGATGAGCTAGCCAAGTGAGAAGCGTTTGTTGAACCATCAGGAGAAGTATGTATAGAAGGCCAATTGTCGAAAATATCGATGAAAGAATGGAAATCGTCGAGTCTGACTATTATGGGAGCACTGTTTCGATGGCCCTGAAGCTGAACATTGCAGAAGAAGCTCGATGCATGAGTGCCACTTGATTTAACGAGAAAAAACCTCATGAACCGAATTTCCAACTGCAAATCGTTGCCAAATCGAGCCATTTCTGAAGCGTATATGGAGTGGAGATAAAAAGTGAAACGAAAACGGTCTGGGTCAAAAGACAATGTGCCGGCACAAACGGCCATCCAATCAGGATTAACGGTCGGGAAGCTTTCATTGTGTGTTTGGTGTATTGGCAAGGAATCATACACTATTAGGTGCTCCCCTAAGGCCAATCTCATACTAAACTGTCAGTAACCGTTGGACTTTCAGAGGGAAACAATCGCACAGAAGCCTCCACCTTTGACCAACAGGTGGAAGAATTGTGTTTCATCAGGACAAGTCAAGACTATAAACATCGCTAGTGAATCGCCGGTGGCTCATGGCAGCTGTGCATGGCGGATGTTTTGACTAGTGAAGAATTGGCCTCAAGAGAATGATTTGAAAATCGATTGTCCCAATTATTTGCCAATAGGAAAGAGGGTTTCTACTAGGGAGGCATAACAATGATATTACCTTCGAAATGGCTGAAAGTTATCGAGCAAAGCAGCGTTTATTTTACATAAATCCATATTATGTATATGTAAGTATATCTGAAATTGAAGAGCAAACTTGAAATAGGCCAAACCTTTTTCTAAGCTCATTTTTTAACTCCTAAACTCTTCATTTCATTTTTGTTATATATTTTTGATTTTTTTTTAGATAAATATTAATAGACACAACTTTTCATTCAACTAACAGACATGCTTTATATCAAAAGTTTTTTATTAACAATATTTGCGTAGTCTCTCCTCCTCTATGTATCATACATATCTATAAAACTTCGTTTTACACACTTTTTATTACATTACACAATTTTACTTTTCCCTCCTTTTTTCGCTCTTTTTTTCGCTCTTTTCTTGTTGCAGCTACCAACTGTTGCCAACAGTGAATTCACAAACCAATGCAGCGCTCAGCTCAGCGTACGCAGTAACACAGATGATAAACACAGACATAATGAAAAAGCCAATTTTTGTTGTTGTTGTAAAAAGGAGCACTTACAAACACGAATGCCAAACGGCATGAGCGCACAAAGCCAACGAAATTGAAAATTGTGTAGTCGAAAGTCAAAAATTGTATTAGAAAAGTAGTGAAAGTATGCGTTGCGCTCTTTTCGAGGGGAAAATGCAAAGATATAAAAGAAAATTCTTGAAAAAAACCCAAAAAAATAAATAATAAAATAAATATGCAGCTTTGCAAAATTTGTGTAGAAACTCAGTAGCGTAAAAAAGGTAAAACGAAATATTAAAAAGCGCAAAATGAAAAGAGAAAAAATTGGAAAAAAGAAGAAAAAAATTAAAAAACTTGTGAAAAATTAAAAAAAGAGAAAAAACTTGAAAAGAAAATGAAAAAATGGGAGAGAGTAAAAAAATTAAAAAACTTGAAAAAAATAAAAAAAAGTCGGAAAAAGTGAAAAAAAAACTTGAAAAAAATTTTTAAAATTTGGAGAGAATAAGAAAAATGAATAAAATAAAAAAAAACGGAAAAAGTAAAAAGATGAAAAACCTTTAAAAAAAAAAAAAAAAAATTGAAAAATTGAGACAATGGAAAATATTTTAAAATGGAAAAAATAGAAAAAAATTAAGAAATTTTTTGAAAAAGCTGCCATTTGAATTTTTTGCTATTTTTCTCTCGCATCGCTGTTCAAATCAACCGAATTGACGTGAACGGCAACAAAAAGCTCAATCAAGTTTACTTTACTTACATTTCAGTTGAATGAAGTCGATTGAGTTGAGTTCTCTACATTGTTTCATAATGTGCAGTGAGAGCAGAAAAATGGTAGAACAGTAAAATAGTAGTAAAACGTTATTTACAAAGCGCTAAGCGGCGAGTTGAAAAGGATTTACGCTGAATTCTTATGTGCTTTCAACTTTTACTTTTCATTATTTTTTCCCTTTTTTTTTGTTTAGACTTATGTCTTGCGTGCCTTGAATTTGCGAAAGGGTGGGCAAAGTTTTTTTTCTTTGAAAATCCTTTAAGTAAAAAGTAGTAGTAAATACGAAATCCTTATTTTAATACTCTTGGTGAATTTTACTTGAAAAAAGTTGGAAAAAGGAAAGCAGGTTTATGATTTTTCTTTTGTAATTTAAAAAAAAAGTTTTTATTAAAAATAAAGAGTCTCTTTCTCGTCATCACTACTTTTTTTACGCTTTTTTAGATTATACAGGGGTTTCCAATAAGAGTTGATATTTGATATACTCACGTGGCGACCACCTCGTCGAAAGATAACACGACCCGGAAACATTCCGCTTGAAAGTTCGTTGCTAGTTTGGCACGTAGCGCCATCTTATTGAAAGCGAATATTGTCATCTCTTTAAAGTACAATCCATTTACCGTAACTGTTGCACCAGCTTCATATTGGAAAAAAGTAATGTCCAGTGACGCCGGCGGACTATAAACCGCATCAAACAGTTACACGTTGAGGATGGAAAGGCTTTTCAGCCATTTATGTTGGATTTTCCGAGTCTCAGATGCGACAGATTTGCTTCTTGACCTAGAGCCATCGAGGTTTTTATTTTTCGCCTTTTGCCATCAATCGGAGATACCTACTGTAGTCTAATCCGGCCTCGTATGATATTTCTTCTTTGAGTGCTTGCACTGGTGGATAGCATAGAAACTTTCAAAACTAAAGTCTTTTGATTCATCTTATGCAAACAGATCGTTAGACCATCATTTACGATATTCGTCGTCGCTGCTACGTGATGGTTCACAAATCGATAACTAAAAGTGTCCCTTGTGAACCCATAGTGCCGTTTCAACAAATGAAAGTGCGCCAGTTCTTCCTTCTTTCGTTCTCAATACGAAATACCAAGTGTAGTCAGATCTGATCTCCAGCTGATCTTTCCAACGTAGTCGAGGTCTTTCTCTATCTCTGCTGCACCGGCGGGTACTCCATGGAAAACTTTCAATGCTTTTGCTTACTCAGTTCTAAATAGCAATATTGGATTTCAAGGCTGAACTTTTGGGGTTGCTAATGGATAATGGTTTATGGGTAGTCCAAATTGGCTACAGCTTCAATGCGGCATTGGCATATGCCACTTTTTGTAACTAAAATATTGTACCTTCTCGGTATAGATCTACAGTCGAATCCATGTAATAGAGAGTCTCCAGGTGTGACTGGCAAACTGCCATTAAGCCTCTTCACTGTAGTCACACCACCTCAAAAGTGGTAATAAGATGTCGGGTTTTTTTAAGTAAAAAAAGCTCCAGAACCAGAACAATCCAAGGTAAATGAGTGGCTAACTTACTTACTGACTTCTGTCGCAGCTGCAGCTGCAGCGAAATAGACTACGAGGAGTCGGTAGAGCACTCTCTGTCACTGCCACGCCCTAAATGCTACCCGTCATCGTTTGAACTCGACCCCTCTCAAAAGGCATTGGAAGGGTAATACTCTTGTAGCGATAGGCCGCTTTGGCGAGTATCTACAACTCTCTTGGGCGATTATAGACAGTTACTACTCTCATCTATGGAGGAAGAGGGAATGAACTACTCTCCGCTTTAACGCCATAATTAGAGTTGGTCAGGGTCTACCACTCTTTAGGAGCGAGGAACTACTCGTCTACCTTCTTCGAAGACGGTTAAGCGCAAACCATCAAAAACAAAATTCATGATCTATTATTTTTCTGACGGATCTCAGCACGCGGTAGAAGCAGCTCAGTGGCAAGCCGGAGCGCGTCATAGTGCAAAAGATGCGCTCTTCAACTAAGGTTCTGTTAGGTATTTATTCAATTACCGGACTGATGCTTCATATAACTGACTTTTGAATGTGGAAGGTCACGGAAACCTTCCAGAAGCTGTAAAGAGTTTAGTTCCGCCATTTAGCTCGTTCTTCTTCTTACCTTTGTGTCTGTGTGTTTAAAACTATCGCCTTGTAAAAGGAGAAAGCAAAGTGGAAAATGGAAAACTGAAGAAACTCTCGATTTCCAAAGATGCTTCACATTGAAAATGCATGAAATTGAAGCCATTTCTCACAAAGCATATACGAGTATGTATATATATGTATGTACAAACATGTGTATACCAGGGTATTAACAAAAGTTTAGTTAGTTGGTGACTTCCAATTTGTTTTTGCTAAAGCTAAAATGCAGACAAGAAAACACAAGATAGCTGAAGATAGGTCAGAGGAAATTCCACCACCAACTCAAACACAAATTCGACATGTGATTCTCCTCGGGTCTCTGGTGAAGTCCAAAATTGACGAAAACCCACGATTGACACAAGAAATGATTGGTAATGAGTTGGGCTTGAATGCCATTGCTGTACCGCGAATATTAAGTAATCATCTGGTAATCATCTTGGGATCTGGGATACACGAATAAATCTGTTCGATGGATATAACGAATTTTAAAGAAGCTCGAGTGCATTTTGCTCTATTTTTTTTTAAACAATTTCGAAAATGATTAAACCAGCGATTTTAGTAAGGTCGTTACTGGTGGCGAATCTTGGTTTTGATAAACACGAACCAGAAACCAAACAGCAGTCTATGGCATGAAGCCCAACAAGAGCAAACCCACCCGTAAAATTTAAGCAACAAAAATCAGCAGCAAAAGTAGTGATGCCAGTTTACTTTACCCGATCTAAAATCGTAGCTGCTATTCCACTGGAAAACAGTCGGATGGTACACCACTCTTGCCTATAAAAGACTTCAAAAATTTGTTGGAAAAGAGAGAAAAAGAGGATTAGCGACGCTACTTTTTACAACATGACAACGCGCCGCCCCACACTGCTGAAATAAAGAGTAATTTAATTGCAATCTCTGGGATGGAAGAAATAAGACCAACATCATATTCCACGGCTAAAGCAACTGATGATTTCTGGTTGTTTCCAAAAGTTAAAAGGAATATGGATTAAAAGGAAAGGTCTTTAATAGCAACGAGGAGATAATTAATGCGGTTAATACTGAACTTGTTGAGCTTCAAAAGCAAGACTTTGAAGACTGTTTTCAAAAGTAGTTCTTAAAATCAATGGCGATTATGTAGAGAAGATAAAAAAGGACAAAGATTACAAATAAATATAAATTTAATTTTTTCTTCAATTCAACTTACCGAACTTTTGTTAAGCCCTTCGTATGTAGGTATTTTACCTCTGTTGAACTTTTAAGATGCTCTCGATACACTCACACACACATATGTACATACGTACCTATACAATATGTATTTCACTTTCTCTTTGCACTAACTTTTAACAATTTCCTCTCAATTATTTACGCATATATCTCACCAAAGCACTTCTTAGCTAACATTCGAACGGTGCAACAACAAAAACACAAAACAATGAAAATATCGAAAAACAAAAAAAAATAAAGCTCACTTGTGCAAGTGCAAGGAAATTTTATATATACATGTGTGTGTGTGTGTGTTTGTGGGTGTGAGTGTTCAACAAAGCGATTTATAAACCAAATGACTTATTTGGAGCTACTCCTGCGGAGCAACCCCAACTCCTTACGAATTATTACATACGATTACACAAACAGGTGTATGAAAAAGGGTGTTTTTTAAGGCGTGTGGTTTTCAATGAGCGTGATGTGGTCTGATTGGATAAGAATACTTCAGCTTTGAAAGTATTCGATACAGTATCCGCTGGTGGAAGCAGAGGAAGGAGGAAGACCTCCACTCCGTTGGCGGAAAGACCAGGTAGAGAAGAGTCTGATAGTCAGCGAAATGTAGAAATGAATGGCACAAGGTTGTTAGCTCGGCTATAATCGCGGAAGCGGTGTCTACGCCAGTAAAGAAGAACCTTTTCAATGAGGCAAAATTTTTTTCTTTTGACTTTTTTAGCGTTGGGATTTTTGTCAGCTGTAACTTGATTTATACTCAGTGTGGTTTGCCATTTCATAATGAATAGACTTGGCTCGGAACAACGTTTTGCAAAGCGCGCACTTTTTATTACCAAAATAATGGTTCGGTTCCCGCGCTGCTGCCAATATTCGTTCGAAATCAGCGCCCGGTAGAGTCGATGTCTCGAGCAACTATGGAAGAGTTTCGAGCCTTGTTTACTCTAGTGGATAATGCACATGCTGAGAGACTACATTTTACGTGCTACGAAAGCGCTATTGCTGTTATGGAGCAGAGTATTGAAAAAGATTCGCATACAAAATCCAAATTCCGTGAAGCACACTTTTTGCTGAGTGGCTACGTTAATAGACAAAACTGTC